GTGGCAAAATTTCGCTGATGACGAAGAGGTTGAAACAGTCAAAAGTCTTCAGTGCTGCGGGTTTCGACGCACTGGTAAAGCGATGGGACAAGTGTATCACTGTTGGTGGAGGATATGTAGAGAAATGACTGTTTTTTTCCTGGTTCGAATATCACGTGTTTTACGTTTCACATCTCTGTCCCATCTACTGACTCTCCCTCGTATATTCCCGAAATTCTTCAGTTACTGCCAGAGGCTGTAGCTTACCTATTATGACATATATTCAGATCCCGTATATGCTGATTTCGTCAGGATTCATTCTCCCGTAATTAAGATTTAAGTTAACATTTAAATATACTTTGCTTACTGCTTATGTTGATTTCGTGTCGCTGGAACCCCAACATGTTTTCGTATTACAAGACCATCAACAGAGGGGTAAAGGTAAAATTGTCCCTATGCTTAATTAAGCACCACGCCATGAAAACGTAGGGCGGAAGGATATTTAGCTCCACCATTCTCTACCTAGGCACTAGATGGTCAGCTTCATTCTCCGGCCGCTTTACTCCTGAGCACGGAGCCCTCAGTAACCAGTAATGAACCAGTAAGTAAAGTTTTTCGTGTGCTTAACTAATTAAGCACTACACCATGAAAACGCATGCGGGAGCGGATGTATAGATCCACGTTTTCTTAACCTCGATACTAGTTGGAGTGTTCTGTTTCACGCCCCGGCAGATTAACTACTCGTACCCATTGAATGGAAGGCTGGGTGGGCCCATATGAAGTCTGGATGACGTGGAGAAGAGAAAAATCTTAACGCTACAGGGACTGTAACTCAGACAGTTCGGTCGCCCAGCCCGTAGCCAGTCGCTATGCTGCTGTGCTATCCTGGCTTCTAATGAGGGACGTAACTCATTAAAGGAAAACTTCACAAATCACACAAAACAAAACTGATTTCAGTCCGAAAGTGAACTACACCGACCGAGCGACCGCCGCTTGTCGTCGAAGTTAATGCCAACTTTAGCGGATAGAGTGTGTCGCGTGGTCACCGCAACGAATCCCCACGGTCGTTAATTTCGGTTTTCTAGACCGGAGCCGCTATTCCTTGAAATATCTCCTCAATTATCCTCATGTAGCTCGATGGACCTCTTTCCAGATCCACTACTTCTCATAAAATCTAGTAGCACCGGAAATCGAACACGGACCTCTGGATCTGTAACCACGAACTCTGACAACTAGACCACATAAAAGAAAGCAAATGATGAAAATATGAGGGACATGAATCCCCCATGCATTTAAAACTGATATTATGTTGTAATGCCGGTTACGGTAGCCGAGCGGTCTAAGGCATGCACTGTCTTCGCTCACTTCGAAGCCGAGATCGTGGGTTCGAATCCTACTCAGGGCATGGATNCACAGAAAAAAATAATAACCTTGTCAGTATGTTTGATTAAATTACTGTAAGCGAACAGAAAGAGAGAAGCGCCGTGTCGGATTTGCGGCTCCCATGTCAATGACGGTTAAGATAACTGGCTGAGAAGCATTACAAACTAGTCATTCACAATNACTTTTGGGGGAGTTATGTGTAATGTTATGGGAATCTGCAGCCACGAGTGAAGCTCAAGCTTGCTTAATTGTAGGCCCGAAAACTGGCGCTCCTGATTGTTGCTTTCCTCTGTTTTGTTTAGTCCTTATAGGAAAATGCTGGAGCAGTAACTGAAACTAGTCCATCATCGTCTCATGCTACTCTTCCCAGTTCATGAACCGAAGTCATTCTCTTGTTTCGTAGTTTGGGAAGTGTTGCTATATATGCTGTATTAAGAATAGATTGTACCTCATTTTCAGACACAAAATCAACACAAAGGACCCCCTCACGTTGCATTATTCCATGATTTCCTCAACCAACAACCGCGGTTATAATGACGAGACTCAAAACTACATTTAGTCTCAAGCTCAATTTTAAGACTGTTTAGAACCAACACAAATTAAGAGTAGGGTTTTATATCACAAAAATTTTTTAAAACTTTTAAATTAAATTTTATTTCAAGCACATGTTATATTAAAATACAAATTATAATACATTTTAGTTTTAAACAACCTTAAACATGAAGAAATCCGTCTTCTGGGATGTGCCGCTGTGTAGAAATTGTGTAACCGACGTTTCAGAGGAACGTATCGCCTCCATCTTCTCCACACCCCGTCTCTCCTGCACTTACATAGCTGTGTTTACTCGACTGGACTCAGTCTGTGGCACCTACTCTGCTGGTTCGCTCGCGGATTTCTTCTTGTCTTCTACCCTGACGAAGGAGGCGATACGTTCCTCCGAAACGTCGGTTAACACAATTCCTACACGGTGCCACATCCCAGAAGACGGCTTTCTTCATAGTCACCGCCGTGAAAACCTCAAATCTTACAAACTTAACTTTTTTATTTGCTAGTGAAGTGGGACCAAGTCCCTTGTACTGAGGCCAATTCTGGCCTATCGTACCAGCCCCAGATGATAGGTGAGGGTGATTGTGAGCAAATGGTGGAATGAAGATTGGCGGAGGAAACCGCAGTACTCGAAGAAAACCTGCCCCAACGCACTTTTGTCCACCACAAATCCCACTTAACCAGACCCGGGATCGAACCCGGGGCGCCGCGGTGGGAAGCCACCGACTAACCGCTTGAACTATGGCGCGGCCAACCTTAAACTTAGATAGAAACTGTATATTACCAGGGTTTTCGGGTGTGTTGTTAGGTTATATTTTCAAAGGTGTATTCGTTATTAAAAACAAATCCAAATTTTAAAATATGGATCCGTATGAAGGAAACTCAATTCAAGAACTTAGATTGATATTCTTGTGAGTACCCTGAAGATGACCTAAGAAAGGTTGAAGCATGTAGCACACCAACTAAGTATAGTTAATAATAAAAATAATCTTTGATACGTCAGTATATTTTTATCTTTATTTTAGAGATATTATTGTTGTGTAGACGACCTGTTTAAGCTATTGTGCAAAGTACAACAGGGTGCATACAATGAAGACCAAGAATTGAAGTCGTCCTGTTTCGCAGTTTGGAAAGCGTCGTTATGTTGGCTACGAAATGAGACGCTGTGTTGCATTTCGCTTACTCCTACAGAGCACGGTGCTAAATGCGTATGCCATTTGTTTTAACATTACAGAATTCCGAATTTTGCCTACATTGTATTTGTCTCTTTTATATGATTGTCAGAATAGGAGTGAATATTTCAGTAAACAGCACTAACAGAGTTTTTGATGTAATGAGAGATATAGGGTTCTATGCATGAGGTAGGAACTGAATTTTAAAATAGCATTTAGTTGAATTTCATGGTTATTGGTGATTGTGCCAGCCCTGTAATAAATTAATCGTAAAATAAATCAATAACTAGGCAAAAAGGAAAAAGTTATCCTGTAAGAGGCTGTGGAGGCCGATAAGGTTATGAGACGTCGAGGCTTCCACATTTTCTAGATAATCGGCTCACAGACAGCGGCGAGGATGTCAGTCTTACGCGTCGGCCGCCATTTAACCCAAGAAAGATCCCTGGTACTCATTTCTGTTAGAGGTTGAGTCGACTCTGGGACCATAATGCGGCTGGAGGCATTAGATGATTTGAATAATTCAATGACCTCATCGGGAATCGAACCCGCTACCTTCCGGCTCGTAGCATAGTGCCTGAACCAACTATATTACCGCGTACCCCAATTAATAACCAGGTCCTTTCAAAATGTGGCGAAGGAAATATAAATTGAATTAATGAAAAAATTAATAGCAGATTAATTTGGAAGATGCTTGCTACCATCCAGTTCAGGAACTGTTCTCTCGTTTCTGATGGTTTAAATGTACAAAATTGCAATTCTGCCTGTAGTTTTGTATTCGTGTAAAACTTGGTCTCTTACTCTAATGAAAACATTATAGAGATCAGGATGCTGAGAATGATATCTGGATCAGAAAGGAGAAAGTAACAGGAGATTGGAGAAAACTGCAAAATTTTGGGCTTTATAATTCCTCTTCCTCGCCAAATATTTTAGAATTGTCAACCCAAGGGGGCTGAAATGGGTAGGGAATATGGCACACATGAAATAGAATGGTAGTACATACGGCGTTTGAGTAGGAAACTCCTTATTTAGAGATCTGAAAATAGACCGGAGGGTAATATTTGAATTGATCGTAAATACAATGGGACATTTGGGACTTGATTTATGAGGCTGTGTAGAGGGGATTCTTCCTTGGCTGTGCATCTAATAGCTTCTATGGGACTCAGCCCCATGGCGGTTGTTATAATTAGATATACATTTCGCTAATGTGAAGAGGACTGCTACTGCTTGTGGTCGGTTTGTGTGTAATGGGCAAGCAATATACGTTACGTTTAGATGATAATGCCAACATAGGGCCGTATTAATCTGAACCAATGCACATCGAAATCTGGTAATAAGTGGAACAGGTTCAAAAGACAATATCGTTTCTCAGTGTATGTATAGACTTGCTGAGAGGTACACAAAAGTGCCTGGTTTATGCTGATGTACACTACATTGACAAAACTGACAGGTATTCATGCTTTCCTCAGGCTCTCCAAGACAAATGCCTTCATTTTAACAGAACATAATCCACAACCAGTTTCTACAGCCTTCATTTGTCATTAAAACCATGCTGATATTTGACGCTATTTAGCCCACACAGCTGAAAAGCATCATTAAACGAACGATATATTTTTGCTGTAGAAATGTCACCTGCAATGAGTGAATTTACATATATATATACAGGATGATGTTGGAGAACGAGCACACGTTCTGCTAGTGAACGTGCCCTGCTCTTGCGCAAATGACGCCAGCAGCAGCCTAGCAACCAGAGTTACATTGTTTCAAATGTCGTGATGAGGAGTTCGTAAAGTTCATTACACAGGAGTGAAGTTATGATTTAAGTTGTATAAAATAGTATATGATTGTTACGTGGTTTGCTTTTTAAATGGTACATCCTGTACGAGCTATGATTGAGCCGTAAGACTGTGGTTCTTTTTGCAGGGATCATAACCACTTCTGGCCGGATGATCGGAGAGCGGCTGAGTGCCTCTGGGACGCGTCTTAACACCTCGAGCCCAGTGCAGTCGGCTTATCACGGCAACAAAAGCAGCACGGAGAGCGTCCCTCGTTCCAGCACCGGTGGTCTCAAGTCCGTATCCAGGCAAAGCCTCCTTGATATCGTAAGCTGTCGGCTCGGGGTCGGCCGAAACAAGCAGCAGCAGCACCAGGTACGATCAAGCAGGCAGTGAACCCGTGTCAGAGAAAGCATGTATTACTGCTACTGAGACTGAAAACAGAGTTGGACCTTGAAACATGTCTGAATAACTGTTTATAGTATGTAGGACCATGTCTCCTCTTATACATGATTGTGGAAAGGATGCAGTTTCGGAAACACTATGTATGTACAGTTACTATACCCGTCGTTTCAAGGTCATCTCACGTCTTATCTCTCCAACCCGCCTCTACGTGAAGACGGGTTGGAATAACTCCACCGTAGCCCTGCGAGTCGTAGAAGGCGACGTAAGGAACCCGGCGCGTGGGGCTGTAACTGGCCACCCTGTCACTGGGGGACATAAATACAGAGACGTAGTCCTCCAGGTTGGGGGCTTGGCGCAAGGCTGACCACCTTGCTATGTAAAAGAAATAATTGTTTCGAAATCCAAAGAAATGAAAACTGGATTCAGTCTGGCAGGATCTTCTGAGGAAGGCTGTAGCTTCAAAAGGACTGTTTTGCCGATAATGATGATGATGATGATGATATTTTTTCGTGTTCTTGAGAAGTGGTATCATAGTTTCTTTGCCCTCAATGTCATATAAGTTTATGTAAAAGCTCGAAGTTTCGGGAAGGATCTGACGGGTTCATTGGGATGAGCCCCATAGGGTTGTGAGACGTCGAAGCTAATATATTTTGTAGACAATCGGCTCACAGATGGCGGTGAGGTTGTCAGCCTTACTTGCCGGCCGCCCTTTGCCCCTAGGAAGATTCCTGGTACTCATTTCTGTTAGATGCCGAGTCGACCCTAGGGCCATAGTGCGGCTGGAAGGATTAGGTAAATTGAAAAAATCCCTCTCATCAGGATTCGATCCCGCAACCTTCCGCCTGGTAGCATAGTGCCTTAACTAACTACGTTACCGCGTGCCCCTATGCTCTTCGGGGTATGTGGTACAAGTAACTGGTTACTCTGATTGACCCTGGTAAGAAGGCTGGTCTAGAAGTAAACACGGAGAAGAACATTAAGATAAGTCTTTGGTGTTATGGACTGTATTGATTTGACTTAGGATAGGGACCAGTTGAGGGCTCTTGTGAACACGGTAATAAACCTTCGCATTCCGTAAAATATTTGGAAACTCTTTAAGTACCAGCACAACTGGTGGCTTCTCAAGAAAATCTGAGCTCCATGGAGTTCGTTTTTTGTTAGTGGGGAAATTTGAGCCGGTTTCCACTGAATGACGATTCTGAGATGAGCTCATGAGCCTTCGGATCGCAGTGAATTTTAGGAACGTCTTGTATGAGAATGACATAACGGAGCCATAAACACTTTGTGAATTTAGTGAAGAGGATTTCCTAAGATATGTATCTACCATTGTCCAGAATGCCCAGTTATTATGTAAGGTACAAGAGCTTCCTGAAATAAATCTCAAATAGAGGTTAAAGAGTAGAGGCCTTGCGACGAGCTGATCACCCGCCCAAGGAGTCCTACCGAATGTGTAAGATCTAGAAAAACCGAAGTGAACGGAGAAGTTCGTGGAGGTAGGCCTAGGCCCACTGGGGCTGTAATGCCAAGGGGGGAAATAGAGATTAAAGAACTTAAGAAGCTCTCTCTTAAATATTACTTATCTCTTAGCGAGGTATATAATTTAATTACATCTCTCTGATACTTTAATACATGTTTAGCTTTTGAAGCCAGGTTTTTTGTTATTCATTCAACCCTTTCGTTTTAGCGACGGTATCATTCTACTTCCTGTACTAAAATACATCTTCTCGTTCTATGATGTTCACATTATACATAATGTTAATGCTCTCGTGCCTTATTTTTCTTGCAACCAGACAAAAACCGTAATGCTTTATGTATGAGAACTTGGTATAACGAGCTATAGTAGTTTGCCATCTGTAGCTCTGCTTTGTATAGGAGCGACAGTGACTTCGAACACTAATAACACTTCACGCTATACAGGGTGTCCCAGGAGGACATGTCAAGGTCTTATATTCGGTGTATGACGTACCCTTTCTTGTTGGGTTATTTTAAGACTCTGTCAATATCGTGACTATACACTTTGTTCCAGAAGGAAAGTTGAATATTCTGAGAGGTCATAGTATCATTCATTCTAAGCAAAAAAAAAAAAAATGTATACGTACAGGTGTCCTATTCCGAACAGTTTCTGAAATGGAGCTGTTTCGCTGTGCAGTACACTGTACACTGTACAGACGAGCAACACGCCATGTCCTCACACGAGTTGCACCGAGATAGAGCCATTTCACTGCACAGTACACTGTACGCTGTACAGACGAGCAGCACGCCACGTCCTCACACGAGTTGCACCGAGATAGAGCCATTTCACTGCACAGTACACTGTACGCTGTACAGACGAGCATCATGCCACGTCCTCACACGAGTTGCACCGAGATAGAGCCATTTCACTGCACAGTACACTGTACGCTGTACAGACGAGCATCATGCCACGTCCTCACACGAGTTGCACCGAGATAGAGCTATTTCACTGCACAGTACACTGTACACTGTACAGACGAGCAACACGCCATGTCCTCACACTAGCTGCAAAGTGCATTGATATTGACGGTGGAATCTTCGAACCAACTTAGTCACTTGAACAATAAGTACCGGTATTAGAAACAGTACGTAATATCTCTTTCTTATCAACAATTTTGGAACTGTACAGTGAAACAGCAGTGAAACCGTTCGGAATAAGACACGTGTATACGTGTATATACAATTTTTACTTAGAATGGTGTATATTGTTACCTCCCGAATGTTGACTTTTCTTCCTGGGACTCTCTGTATACTACACACTACAAGGTAGACTGCAGTAGGTTAATGTGATAGCTACTTCAGAAATGTTCTGCACTGAAGTTATAAGCTTAGCAAAATGTGAACTGTCAGAAGAAGAAATTATGAATCTGACATTTCATTTGGGCCAAAATCGAAAGCATTTTCTCGGAAAGGAATGTAATTACATTTTCGATTTAAGACCTTATTCAGACATATGAATAACTTTATATATTTTGGATTATTTAGCCTAAAGAAACTTTTTATGTCGTCATCAAACATAAGAATGCTCATGACAGTTTCTCCAAATCGTCATGATGAACTCGTAATGATTCCTGTGTTTGGGGTTCGTAACTCTTGATTCTGGGCACAGTGGTTTATCGGAAGGATGATACGAAATCAAGGTCGTATTATAATGATAGTGAATTGCCACTTGAGAATTTAATTAAAAGTCTCTAATCTATTAATATCAGAAAACAATAACCTCGTGGCGCAAAACGCCAGTAAATATTTGTCATATTTCTGTTATCTGTCATTTCATTTTTTTTTTAATTAAAACGAGTTCAAGATTTAATGCGGCTTTAGTCCGCACCCCTTGCTCGAGTAATTGCGATTGAAATATTTAGGCCGTATTGGTTAGATAATTTCTCTTTCTAAGAGTACCTATCGGTCATTCTGTATATCTTTACTCCCCGTGTAAAATGTCGCACCAGAAAAGAGGACGTGATCTAAAATAACTTCCTGCCAAATGTATTCCAGGTGTTTTCCTTTCATATCGGAGTCCGAGAGATTTGTTATGAGAACAATGGAATGCAGCTCGCTGCATTGTGCTGTGATCTGTGTTTGCTGTTCAAAGTGAATAGTAAATATGTTTCAGGCCGCATGTCTGCTGCTAATTGTTAATAAGAATTGCGACACAAGTTACAGCATGAGAGATACATATATAAACATGATGAACGATCTTAACACTTGAGTTAATTGGAGCTGATGCTATTATTTATTGTTGTTCAAACAGCAGGTCCTTCTGGCATACCTCAGTGGAACAACAACTTGCCTGTACTAGACCAAGGAGTTCACAACTTGTTTTAGCACTAAACCCCGTTGCTGTGAATAGAAATGTTTAAGGTTCCCAATATATAAAAATAACTTAGAATATAATTTAGCAATTGCAGAAAATAAAGACTAATTAACCCTAATATGTAATATCGCGTTCATCAAGTACATTTCCCCTTAAATTTCATCTTTGTAGTTTGCAGCTGATGTTCTCGCTGCTATTTTTTTCTTAGAAGTTGCCCCCTGTGGTCTGGTAAAAGTTTACCAACTTTTGGGAAGACCATACTGCCTCCTTATTATTATTCCATCCTGAAGGTGAGGGCAATACTTTCCTTCGAAATGTCGGTAAGTATTGTAGTATGTAGACCTATTGCTAGGCAACGACCGTAAAATAAGCAGCTATAAAATAGCCGTTGCTAAGTAATGGCTAAGTAGTGCCAAGGCTATATAACGAGGGTTTCTTATCGAAAATTACACACTCGGTATATAGCTTGGGAACGTACCGTACAGAGACAACCGCTTCCAACAGTTCTTCTGTTGTGTGCGTATCTATTGCTGCAATTACTTAGCAACGGGCTTTGTTTACAGAGCCATTACTCAGGAACAGCTATTCTACATCTGCTTATTTCACGGTCATTGTCTAGCAATGAGTCTACATGCCACAGAACTTACCGACATTTCGAAGGGAAGTATTGCAATAGGAGGATTCGAAAGGCCAAGCATATTCATAAGAGACAAACACATCTTCTCGTCAGAGAGAATGTTGCATAAGGACTCGTACTACAAGGGTTCAGTTGCAAGAAAGAATCTCTGGTCGTAGTTCTCAAGGGGCATGACACCAAGACGAACTGATTGACGGTAAATGGCCAGTCACAAAGTAACTTTGACATGACGCTGACAAGAGAGAGTCTTGAGACGGCAGTTATACACAGGACAAATCTAGAGTTTAGTTAGTTTGAGACAGTCGCCGGCCTGTAAGGATGTGACACGGAAGTTGAGGAAGCTACGGCATTGGCTGCCGTCACCAGACGTCGACTGGTGAAGATACAGCAGACTGAGAGGACTTCGTACGTGCTGTAGTGAACTGTAGAGTGTGTGAATTAATGAAACGGATACAGTTACTTGTAGTCACGGATCTGTAAGGCTTCAATAAATCCAATTACCGATCC